TCCGTTTTCAAATGCCAGAACTCCCTTTTCAACTGCTAGAACTCCGTTTTCAAATGCCAGAACTCCCGTTTCAAATGCCAAAACTACCTTTTCAAAAGTCAGAACTCCGTTTTCAAATGCCAGAGCTCAGTTTTCAAATGCCAGAACTCCGTTTTCAAATGCCAGAACTCCCTTTTCAACTGCTAGAACTCCGTTTTCAAATGCCAGAACTCCCGTTTCAAATGCCAAAACTACCTTTTCAAAAGTCAGAACTCCGTTTTCAAATGCCAGAGCTCAGTTTTCAAATGCCAGAACTCCGTTTTCAAATGCCAGAACTCCCTTTTCAACTGCTAGAACTCCGTTTTCAAATGCCAGAACTCCCGTTTCAAATGCCAAAACTACCTTTTCAAAAGTCAGAACTCCGTTTTCAAATGCCAGAGCTCAGTTTTCAAATGCCAGAACTCCGTTTTCAAATGCCAGAACTCCCTTTTCAACTGCTAGAACTCCGTTTTCAAATGCCAGAACTCCCGTTTCAAATGCCAAAACTACCTTTTCAAAAGTCAGAACTCCGTTTTCAAATGCCAGAGCTCAGTTTTCAAATGCCAGAACTCCGTTTTCAAATGCCAGAACTCCGTTTTCAAATGTCAGAACTCTGTTTTCAAATGCCAGAACTCCGTTTTCAAATGCCAGAACTCCGTTTTCGGCTTGATATAATTTTCGACCAATTGGGTTTGAGCAGATTAGTGGACACTCAATTTGGACAATATGAAACATAGCTCGAAAAAAAATTTCTTCGGTGCCTGGCCCCCGTCGCAATTTGCAAGCGTCAAGAGAAGCGAGCAAGTTTGGACCACGCAGGGCTAACTGAATTTTTTGGCTACCTGCAAAAAAACTAAATATACAGCCATGGTGGATAGCTTTATCAGATCGAAACTGTTCTCTCTAGAGGTCCAGTAAGGACCATCACTTCTTGGCCCAGTGTTACTTAGAGAGCAGAGCCTGAAATAACGGCCGGCAGCCGGCGGTTTTCCGACCAAATTCCGATTTTTCCGATCAAATGCTGAAATGATCGGAAATTTTGTCCGGCCAAATTTTGAGAAAAAGAAAAATGTTTTCTTAATGATCGGGTCGGCGCTCAGCACAGTGAGTACCATCTGTAAGTTTGGATTATCTATAGTAGGCTAATATAAAATAATCAACTGGAAAGTATAGTTCACGAGCCCAATAAACAAGATGGTGGTTTACAGCGTGGTGTTGTCGGGTCAAGATAAAAACAGCGTCGGCGGGCGTGATTAAAAGCTATTAAATTATTATTCACTATAACTATTCCAATAAACAATTCAAAATTAAACATTTGTGTTTTATTATTGCAAGTAGAGTGATTTACTCAGTGCACGTCTGCATGCTTGACAGAGTTTGTTCATGGGGGGTGGACTTGGTCAAACTAAACTAAAAAAAAATCCAGTCAATTTTGCAAATTTCCGGTCAAATTTCGTTTTGATCGGAAGTTTTTCCGGACAAATTTTAAAATTATTTCAGGCTCTGGAGAGTGCCTAGGAAAAGCTACATTGTTTGAAAGAGTCAACAGGAAGCAATCTTCTCACATGTGACCAAAGCTAAATTATTATCAGGCAACTGTGTAGTGCATATTGTGGGATTCAAATCCAGACCATTTTGAATGTTTTCAGGGGGTGACAGGCTGACAGCCTCTCCTTAGCACACTGGCTAGGAACATTGCGATTGTGAACCACTGTGTGGCAGCCATTACGATTAAACATTACATGTGTTTCCAACTTGCAGAGGTGAATGTCACATGTACTAACCAATGTGCCATGCTTGCTGTACATCTGAATCATAATGTTTATCCATTCACATAAAAAACCATCAAACCTACCTTCTCAATCTGGTGTTCTCGTTTTGACTCAGGTATAAGGTCTATCTTATTCAGGACGACAATCATCTTATCGCATGTGATCTGACCAATGACAAGACATTCTGCCGTCTGTGTTTGTATCCCTTTATTGATATCTACGACCAAGATCATCAGATCAATAATCTGAGCTCCGCCTAAACAGTTAAAGTTTTGTATATCAGACTAAATGTCATTTGCATCTAAGGATGGACAGTTGCAAATAAAACAATGTTATGGGGAGAGGGGGTAACAGGAACTGAACGATGCATTATGGTTAGGGATTTTTATGTGAAAATTGAGATTTGGGTTGGGATTACCATTTAGGTTATGATTGAGATTAGGGATTTATGGTTAGAATTAGGGATTTTTGATTAGGATTAGGGATTTATGGTTAGGATTTAGGGATTTATGATTAGGATTAGGGATTTATGGTTAGGATTAGGAATTTATGGTTAGGATTAGGGATCTGTGGTTAGGATTAGGGATTTATGGTTAGGATTAGGGATTTATGGTTAGGATTAGGGATTTATGATTAGGGATTTATGGTTAGGAATTTATGGTTAGGATTAGGGATTTGTGGCTATGAATTAGGGATCTATGGTTAGGATTAGCAATTTATGGTCAGGATTAGAGATTTGTGGTTAGGATTAAATTAAGTATTCATGATTAGGTTGGGGATTTATGATTGGGATTAGGGATTCATGGTTAGGATTTATAGGGATTTATGGTTAGTGTAATGTTCGTGGTTTTGTATCAATATCAAGCACTTTTAAGTGTAACAATAGATATCAAACAACTTGTACAAACAGCATAGTACGTATCCAATTA